GCTCCTCGAAGCACTAGAAGTCTGATTTTTGAACAGAATTACAAGACATTTTGTATACCGTAATCACTCTAATGAAACACTACCCGGACCGTCCACTTTGAGCCTAAATATCTCAATTCTTTTGAAAGATATCAAAAAGTTGTTAACTGATAAAATGTTTATCATGATATCAGCAACGTTTTATCAGTTGACGACTTTTCGATATCTCTTACAGAAAATGAGATAAATAGGCTCAAATTTGACGACTTGTGCGGCGTTCTATTAGAGTGTTTACGAGATCCTAAACTTCTGAATTTTTGAAATTTTCGAATTTCTGAAATTACGAACTTTCGGAGTTTCTGAATTTCGTAGAGTCCGAATTTTCAATTTTCGAAAAGTGCAAAAATTCAGTTTAGCTGAATTCGTCACTTTGGGATTTTCCACTCTGTAATCAGTCTAGAAAAATGTTGCCAAATAGAAAGAATCGACATTTTCTTAGTTTTTTCTTTCTCACATCAAAAAAAAATTGTTTTTAGAAATATAATTCTTTTCGATTTGGTACAAAATCAAAATACATTTTTTTTTCTCTACCCAAATAATAAATTTGAAGGCAAAATTCCAGATTTTTTTTCGGATTTCCAGAATTTTCGACTTTTTCCGAGTTTTCCTTTCTTTAGAATTTCCGATCGGAATCTCAATTTTTTTTTTCATATTCTGGAGTTTAGTTTTTGAGGTATCTGACACCGCAAAACCTGTAATAGAAGGGCCCTCTGACCTTTGAATTTAAGCCTATATATCTCACTTCTTTTGAAAGATATCAAGAAGTTGTCAACTGATAAAATGTTCATCATAATATCAAAAACATTTTATCAGTTGACCCCTTTTTGATATCTTTGATAGGAGGCGAGATAATTTAGCTCAAACTTGACAATATAGGGGCCCTTCTATTACAGGTTTTACAGTAGTTCATATTTTTCAAAGATTTTTCGATCTATCGAAATTCTAGAATATTCTTCCTCGAAATTGTTTTCTGGGACCACAGTAGAGATTGCTAATCCTATAATTATCTCGAAGATTTGTGAAATTATAGGGTTCAAAGTAGACATTTCGAAAATTTAGAATATGGAAAATTTGGGACTTTTCCGATATTTTAAAAATTTTAGCATTCTGGAATTTCAGAAATTCAGAAACTTCGAGAAAGTTTTGAAAAATTTCAAAATAGAAAAAAAATTCCGACTAATCCTTCTTTTTTGGAATATTGGGAAAATATGAGATTTTGTGTTAATCCCCCTCAGAGAGCTCTCGTAATCCAAATGAGCTCATTTTGGCTTGTTGAGCTAAAAACTCTCAAATTTTGATTTTTGGAATTTTTACGATTTTTAGCTTTTGAGATAAAAAATTTTGAAGATTCTAAAAGTAATCCGGAATTCCGTAGTTTTGAAAAATCTCAAAATTTCGCAACATTTTTTTTCAAAAATTCTAGGAACTTGAAAATTTTTTTTAGATGCCCTTCTAATACAGGTTTTACGACATTTTTCGTTTTCATAATTTTATAGGTTCTTCTGAAAATGATTTGTCTAGTACTTTTATGTATATTTTTTTCTCATTCACATAAATATGAAAAGTATGAAAATATATAAAATTTCCGGTCAGAATTACATCATAGTATTAATTCTTTTTCCCCTTTTTCTTTTTCATATTTTTAGAAATCCAATTTCATTTTTTCCCTTTTTTCCAGAACATTTCAGAATTATGGATTTTGGAACTTTTGAATTTCTGAGTCTATGAATTTCTGGATTTCTGAATTTCCGAATTTCAGAATTTCTGAATTTCTGAGTCTCTGAATTTCTGAGTTTCCGAATTTCTGAATTTCTGAATTTCTGAATTTCTGGATTTCTGAATTTCTAAATTTCTGAATTTCTGGATTTCTGAATTTCTGGATTTCTGAATTTCTGGATTTCTGAATTTCTGGATTTCTGAATTTCCGATTTTCAGAATTCCAGAATTTCTGAATTTCTGAATTTCTGAATTTCTGAATTTCTGAATTTCTGAATTTCTGAATTTCTGAATTTCTGAATTTCTGAATTTCTGAGTTTCTGAGTTTCTGAATTTCTGAATTTCCGAATTTCAGAATTTCAGAATTTCTGAATTTCTGAATTTCTGGATTTCTAAATTTCTGAATTTCTGAGTTTCTGAATTTCTGAATTTCTGAATTTCTGAGTCTCTGAATTTCTGGATTTCTGAATTTCTGAATTTCTGAATTTCCGAATTTCTGAATTTCTGAACTGAATTTCTGAATTTCTGAATTTCTGAATTTCTGAGTTTCTGAATTTCTGAATTTCTGAATTTCTGAATTTCTGAATTTCTGAATTTCTGAGTTTCTGAATTTCTGAATTTCTGAATTCTGAATTTCTGAATTTCCGAATTTCTGAATTTCTGAATTTCTGGATTTCTGAATTTCTGAATTTCTGAATTTCTGGATTTCTGAATTTCTGAATTTCTGAATTTCCGAAATTTTGAATTTCAAAGTTTTCGAGTTTCAGATTTTTCTGAAATTCTTTTTTTTTCTGAAAATTCTGAAATTCGTCATTTGTTTCTCTATTCTGGGAATGATTTCGAAATTATTATTATTTCTTGTTTTTGTGAACAAACTTTGATTGCCGAATAAGATTAGATTTTTAGACATTTCAAGAAGCTGTGAGAATTCGAAAATTCTGAAATTTTCGAAAAAAAAACTTTTTTGATTATAAATATAAATTATACATTTTTCTTGTTTTTCTAATTATATTTTGCACCTGTCACTCAGGCAAAAATGTGTTCTTTATATTTTCTTTCCCTTTTCTGATTATGAGAAAAAAAATTCAATTTCTTTTTTTTTTTTTGAAATTTCAGAAAAATATATCTTGAAATTCTAGAAATTTCCGATATTTTTTGCAACAATTATAATTTTTAAAAACACCGTAAAACCTTTATTAGAAGAGCTGTTCCAAGGTACTTCCGACGGCTCTTCTAATACAGGCGCCCTTCAATTAGAGGGGGCCCTTCTTTTTTTCCAGCCATTTTTTCCAAAATTTTGCATCCAAAATCCATGAAAATCTGCCAATTTTACAAAAATTTAGCAAGATTTTCATCGAAAAATCGAGTTTCAACAAATTTCTATTAAATTGTGCAGTTCCCGGAATATTTTCCACTGAAAAAGTACGGAAATTTTGAAGGGGGGGGGGGCCCTTCTATTACAGGGGGCCCATTCTGTTTCGATGAATCCAACGTTTCCCATTGTTTCCAAATTTCTCATATTCGAAATTCTCGGGGCGCGCCATTCTATTAAAGGGCTCTTTTAATACAGGTTTTATTTTCAGAAAACTGGAGTTTTCAAACTTCTCAACTGAAACCTATGGATTCTACAATTTCCAGTTTTCACAAAACGAGGAAAAAGATTGGTAGGGATGTTTAGAGTTTTGGACAATTGCAGCAAGTTTATTTTTTTTTCAAATTTTCAAAATCAACATTCGATTTTTGTTTGCAGGTTCCAGAACAAGGAAGAAAGGAAAAAGATTCGAGAATTGGGACAAAAAGAATGGTGAGTTTTATAGATTTTTAAGCCAATTTTTCTGAATTTTTTTGGTCCATTTTTATAGATTTTTACAGATTTGTAGTGTTTTTAAATGGATTTTTAAGTCAAAATGTGATATTCAGTCAGTTTTTATGATTTTTTGGTCAATGTTTAGAAATACCGTAAACACTCTATAGAACGCCAACCGGACCGTCCACTTTGAGCCTATATATCTCGCCTCTTTTGAAAGATATCAAAAAGTTGTCAACTGATAAAATGTTTATCATGATATCAGAAACATTTTATCAGTTGACCACTTTTTGATATCTTTTACAGAAAATGAGATATATGAGCTCAAATTTGATGATTCGGGTGGCGTTCTATTATAGTGTTTACGGTATGCGTCTCTGACCTTGGAATCTTCAAATGACCGTATCTCGGCTCCTAGATGCAGGGTTGCAACCGGCCGGAAGCCCCGGCCAGCCCGGCCCGGCCGGTTCGGCCGGTTCGGCCCGTTCGAATTTAGAAAAAACAGAAATTATTGGAGAATTATTTGAATTTATTTCTTAACAAGTAGCATAACAATGTAAAAACCGTATAAATGAACAAGGGGAAACAAAGAAAAACCGGGGGAGAAAATTAAAGCTCATATCAACCAATCCAACAAAAAAGATAGAAAAGTAACATAAATTTAACTAGAAAAATCACTACAATTAGTGAGAGAATCAGTCGAGCCAGTGTGGAAATTTCGTGGCTATTTGCGAACCCAGAACGACCATCTCCACACGCTTGTACAGTAATCTTGTTCTTGTTTTATCTAACAAAAACGACGCAGTGCTGACGTAGTCTCACACATGGCTTCACTGGGAACAATCGAAAAAACGAAAAGTGCTGCTGAGTACAGTCCGGGGTATTCGAATCTTTTTCTTTTCCAATACTCCTCAACCGATTCGTTCGTTGAAGGATCGTAGTACTCGGAGAGATATCTTGAGATTTCCGAAGAAGTGGATGTTGAGTTCGCTTGGTCACTGACCGCATGATATAACTTTGCAATTAGATTTGACTTCTGCGATGAGGTGGGTTGAGTAGTGGAGGGAATAGCTGACGGCATTAACTTTGTGACAAGATCACGGGCCTGAAAGTTATAGGAAAGTTTATAAACAAGTTTGTTTGTAAACTATACCGTTTCCGTTTCTCCAAAATCGAAATTTTCTCCAAAATCAAAAAATTCTCCAAAATCAAAAAATCAAAACAAAATCAAAAATCTCCAAAATCAAAAAATCAAAACAAAATCAAAAATCTCCAAAATCAAAAAAAATGGCGCGCGTTCAAATATTAATTAATTGCCGGCCGGCCGGGCCGGGCCGGGCCCTGGTTTTTTTCCCTCGGGCCGGCCCGCCGGCCAGCCCGTCAGATTGCAACCCTGCCTAGATGAGCTAGAAAGCTGATTTTTGGTCCAAAATGGAAAAAGTATTTCTGGTTTTTAGATCAATAAAGAAAGAACTCATTTTGAATTTCAACTATTTTCAAATTTAGAATTTCTTTAATTAAAGGGACATGGTGTCACTATCTAACTTTCATCTTTCTAGCTCATCGAGGAGCCTTCCCCTTGTTCATTTATACGGTTTTTACATTGTTATGCTACTTGTTAAGAAATAAATTCAAATAATTCTCCAATAATTTCTGTTTTTTCTTAAATTCGAACGGGCCGAACCGGCCGAACCGGCCGGGCCGGGCTGGCCGGGGCTTCCGGCCGGTTGCAACCCTGCATCTAGGAGCCGAGATACGGTCATTTGAAGATTCCAAGGTCAGAGACGCATACCGTAAACACTATAATAGAACGCCACCCGAATCATCAAATTTGAGCTCATATATCTCATTTTCTGTAAAAGATATCAAAAAGTGGTCAACTGATAAAATGTTTCTGATATCATGATAAACATTTTATCAGTTGACAACTTTTTGATATCTTTCAAAAGAGGCGAGATATATAGGCTCAAAGTGGACGGTCCGGTTGGCGTTCTATTAGAGTGTTTACGGTATTTCTAAACATTGACCAAAAAATCATAAAAACTGACTGAATATCACATTTTGACTTAAAAATCCATTTAAAAACACTACAAATCTGTAAAAATCTATAAAAATGGACCAAAAAAATTCAGAAAAATTGGCTTAAAAATCTATAAAACTCACCATTCTTTTTGTCCCAATTCTCGAATCTTTTTCCTTTCTTCCTTGTTCTGGAACCTGCAAACAAAAATCGAATGTTGATTTTGAAAATTTGAAAAAAAAATAAACNTGGCGTTCTATTAGAGTGTTTACGGTATTTTACTCCGATATTCTTAGAGATTTTTGAGTCAATTTTCAATATATTTTCGGGTCAATTTTCATGATTTTTGAGTCATTTTCCTTGATTTTCAGCTCTGGAATCGCTTCAATGTTGGCTCCATTAAAATGTACAATTTCTACAAGCAAGGATTCAGATGAAGAAGAAGACGAGGAAAAAAGGCGGGCTCATTAAAAAAAATCGAAATTTTCTAGCTCAATTTTTTGAGCTAGTATCTGCTGAAAAATCTGATTTTTGGACTCTTTTTGGACTCTATTTTCTGTCAAAAAAGTAGCTTATTTTTTTTTCTTGTTTCCCACTGGGGATTATTTCTTTCTTTTCTGAAGAAGAAGAGCTTGTCATTTTTCTTCATCTTCTCCTTTTTTATACTCGACTTTTCGAATTTTTAGATTTTTTTAGGAAGTTCTGAATTTCAGATTTTCAGATTTTCAGAAATTCAAAAACCCAAAAACCTGCGAATTCTGGAAAATTGAATTTTCAATTTTGTATGATTTCAAATTCCGAATTTCTGAATTTCTGAATTTCTGGATTTCTGAATTTCTGAATTTCTGAATTTTTGAATTTCTGAATTTCTGAATTTTTGAATTTCTGAATTTCTGAATTTCTGAATTTCTGAATTTCTGAATTTTAGAATTTCTGAATTTCTGAATTTCTGAATTTCTGAATTTCTGAATTTCTGAATTTCTGCATTTCTGATCTGATTATCCGACTATTTTCAAACTTCACAAGTTTTGAATTCCTCGAATTCTTGTTTTTTGAATTTTTAAATTTTTAAAACTTCTGAACTTCTGGAATTTCTGAATTCAGAATGTTTGCAGTTCGGGAAATTATGGAATTTCCGAAAATTTGGAATTTTCTGGAAATTTAATGACTTCTCAGCGCTTCTTTACTTTTCAGTTGAGATATTGGAAAATTCAAAAATTTCAATAGTTTCTAATGCTGAGAGCTTCCAAAAAACTCAAAAGTTTGAAATTTCTTAACTTTTAAAATAATGTGAAAATTTTGATTAAAAAAGCAAGAAAAATTAGATTTCTAGCTCATCTGGAAGCCGAGATACAGCCGATTGAAGTTTCGGAGAGACGCAGACAGTTAGAGTGGCTTATCGTCTGCGTCTCTTGCCTCCTATACTTCGAATGACCATATCTCGGCTTGAAATTGCTCTAGAGAACTCATTTTGCAGAATTTCTTGAAACTTTGAAAGAATGTCTAATAATCTATCTACAGTAATCTGAATTTCTGAATTTCTGAATTTCTGAATTTCTGAATTTCTGAATTCCTGAACGTTAACAAGTTTCTCCTCACCCTCTCTCTAATTTGGCACACTTGAAACCTACTTGAAAAACCTAGAATCTTCAAAAAAAAAATTTTCTCTCTCTCTCTCTCTCTCTTTCTCTTTCTCTTTCTCTCGTTGCTTTATCGCCGATTCGAATCCCATCCATTTCGATTCCATCAATTTTTCTCTGCGCCTCTCTCTCCAAATCCCATACTATTTCTTTTGAGATCATTGACAACGATTTGAATTGGGATGAGAAGAAAAACGAGGAAAGAGAGGCGAGAGATGAAAAATTAGAAGAGACGCAGACATTTTTTTGCGCAACTATAAGAATAAACACAACCGGTTTCGAAGCGAACTGTCTCAACTTTTTTTTTCAATTTGCCAAACTTTTTTGGACCCTTTTTTCGGAATCTTGGATTTATGGAAAATCTGGAAAATCTAGAAAATCTGAAATTCAAGATTTTCCAAAATTTCTGAAATCCTAAACTTCGGAATTTCTGAATTTCTACTGAATTTATGGATCTCTGAATTTTCGAGTTTTCGAGTTTTTTTTTGGTTTTTCGGAGTTTCAAATTCCGAAATTCTTTCAAAAATTCAGAAATTCAGAAATTCAGAAATTCAGAAATTCAGAAATTCAGAAATTCAGAAATTCAGAAATTCAGAAATTCAGAAATTCAGAAATTCAGAAATTCAGAAATTCAGAAATTCAGAAATTCAGAAATTCAGAAATTCAGAAATTCAGAAATTCAGAAATTCAGAAATTCAGAAATTCAGAAATTCAAAAATTCAAAAATTCAGAAATTCAGAAATTCAGAAATTCAGAAATTCAGAAATTCAGAAATTCAGAATTCCCAGCATGACGTCTTCTACTTTTTCTTCTTCTTTTTGACCCATCGATGTCCAATTCAATGCATGTCAAAACTGTTCTATTGTTGTTCGATGGTAATTGATTTGAATGAGAAAAAGAAGACGAATTCTCCCTCTTCTTCAGAAGAAGAAGAAGAAGAAGAAGGCGTCCACGTCTTCTTTTTTTTTCGTTTTCTCAAGTCAAAATGCAGTTCAAGGTCTTCTTTTTATTCTTCCGAATTTCCTCTTTTTCTCAAGTTTTCGAACTAAAAAACTTTGTTTTTCTTACATTTTTGGCATTTTTAAGAACACCTTAACTCATTGAAATTTGTAGTTTGCACTTTTTTATGCTGAAAATATAAAATCTGAATTTCAGAATTTCAGAATCTTAGATGACGTATCATGTGGTCAACAATCATCATATCTACCTCTATTTCTCTATTTCTCTCTAACTACCTGTGTCTCTCCTTTCCTCACACTCTCTCACTATCTCTAAAAATGGAAAGAACTGATAAGAGAATACGCAAAATGTTATCATCATAATCAATCGAAAATTGGGAAAGTTTCTGTAGAATGTTGAAATTTCCCGATTTTTGGTTTTTGGGTGGCCTAGAAAACCGCCCAGGCTTTTATTCTAGGCCGCCACATTGAAATTTCTAAAATTTGAGAGTTTCTGAGTTTACATTTCAAAATAATGACTTTCAATTGTACTTTGGTGGCCGAAGATGTTCACCCTGGAGTATTCTAGGCCACCAAAATTTTTTCCAAACTTCAAAATGTCGATTTTTTGTTTTTTCTGAATTTCCGAATTTCTAAAAATCTGAATGACTGAATTTCTGAATTTCTGAATTTCTGAATTTCTGAATTTTTGAATTTCTATAAAATTCTCAAAAACTAGTCACTCCCAATTTTTCCCAAAAATAGAACCCTCAAAAATGTATTTCTCGTCCCTAAAGTATGTTTTCTTCTATTTTCGAGAGACGAGGAAATTGAATTTAATTAAACACTTCTCTCGTCTCTCTCGTTTCTCTGCGTCTCTCATTATCTAATACTCTCTCGTCTCTCCCTCATTTGGTTTAGTGAAAATGGAATGTTTGTATGTCTTCTCTCATTTCTGCATTTTGCTCATTTTCTGGAAAATTTTCGAAAATTGCAAAATTTTGTGCAATATTCCAATTTTGCCCCCGGGGGGCTAAATTTCCGGGTTTCGAAAATTCAAAAATCTTAAGGAACTCAAAAATCTACACTTTTCTGATGAGTTTTTCGAAATTTGAAACTATTCCTTTAATTTTTAGTTTCAGGATTCAGGAAATTTTGGAACTCTATAATTACTATTTTGAATTCATAGAACACTTCAAACCCATTGGTTCGAAAGTACTTCAAAAAAGTTGAATTTTTAGGAATTTATATTTTTACATTTTCAGAATTCTCTTTTTTTTTTAATTTCTGATTTACCAAAAAAACTGGAAAATTCTCTACAATTTCTTCCAAAAACCACTTTTCTAGCTATTCTAGAACCCGAGATACTGTCATCTGAAGTTTTGAAGAGACGCACACAGTCAGTGTGTCTCGTCGTCTGCGTCTCTAGCCTTCCAAACTTCAAAGCGCTGTATCTCGGGTTGCCAGAAGAGCTAGGAGAGTGATTCTCAGACAGAAATGAAGGAGATCTTGTTTATTTTCTTTTCTGCTTATCAACAATTACCTAAACATTTTTAGAAAACTCAAATTTTCCCAGACTTTGGTTTTTGCAAGATTCACTGAAATTCCCAGTTTAAGACAAGCTCATCACAAGAAAAATAATATTTCTAGCACTTCTAAAAGCCGAGATACACCCATTTGAAGTTGGGAAGAGACGCAGACAGTTAGAGTGTCTCGTCGTCTGCGTCTCTCACCTTCAAAACTTCAAATGACTGTATTTCGGCTCAAAATTGGGCTAGAGCGTTCAAATTTTTTTTGTAATGTGTCATTTCTGATTTCTTATCTGAAAATTCAAGAATCTGGGAAGTGGAAAATCTAAGGATCTAGTAAGAACGCCAATATTTTGCAATACATGTTCATCTCTCGATTCCGAAATTCCAAAACTCGCATTTTCCTCTTCAAATTCCCCTTCTCCCAAAAAAAAACCATTCCGGAGTGTCATCCAACGTCCGTCCTCTTCTTTTTCTCCTTTTTTCTTTTATTCCGATGTCATCTGTCGTGTTTTGTGAAGGTCATTTTTGTTGTAGTTGAGGAGAGGAATAGAGACTCAGAAGAGAGAAAATTCTGCCGCCCATTTCCCCCGATTTTTTTCGTTCGAAATTTATAAAATGACGACGACAAACAGACAGACCACTGAGAGTTTGTTGGAATTTTTTAGTTTTTGGAACTTTTTTTTCCAGTTTTTTGGTGGATTTCGAGTATTTTAATACCTTTGCTTTGGCTGAAAATTGTTGAATGCTGAAATTCCAGATTTTTCGAGTTAACATAATTTTTAATATCCATTCTTCAATTTGGAATTTATCGATTTTCAGATTTTTCGAAATGAAAAATCGATAAACACGGAATGTCGGAAAATTCGAAACTTTGAAAATTCTGCAAACAAATAACTGTAAGAATTCGAAAATTCAGAAAAACATCCAAATTTTTTTTTGGAAATTGTGGAATTCCTGGATTTCTGAATTTCTGAATTTCTGAATTTCTGGATTTCTGAATTTCTGAATTTCTGAATTTCCGAAATTTTGAATTTCT